ATCTTGTTTTACATGCTTGATATACATATTCAGTGATGGCTGTAAGCACATCTGTGGTAGAACAAAATGGAAGCCATATTGTTTGTCAGTGAGTAAGTTGTGAGAGGTAAGATGCTTAACCACTTCAGTATTGAATAAAGCCTCAAATAATCTGCTGAAAATTTGTAGGAAACTAATAGGGCAATAGTTAGAGCAATCAGAAGATTCTGTAGAGTTCTTAAAAACAGGGACTACAGAGAACTTCCAACAAGCTGGAAAGCAGGAAGCAGCGAGGTAATAGTTGTAGAATTTGGAGAGAAGTGGAGCACATTTCTTTAGGATGACAGCTGGGATCCCGTCAGACCTTATGGGAGTCTAATTTAGAAATAATGCCATAGACCTGTAATGGGATTATGTGCATATCACTCAGCCTCAGTTTTAGGGTGGAAATCTGGTGTGGATACTCCTGATGAGTTGAATATTGAGCTGGAAGAGGATTTCCAATCAAAGCATTCCATCTTATCTGCTGTAGATTTCAGGACTTTGAATTGATTAAATAGAGGAGGGATTGAGGATTTGCTGTTGTTCAGCACACACTCTTACAGAGCTACCAATAATCTCTAAAATACTTATAGAGCTACCAATAATCTCTAAAATACTTACAGAGCTACCAATAATCTCTAAAATACTTACAGAGCTACCAATAATCTGTAAAATCAAACTTGAGAGATGCTATACACTATTTCATTCTATCATCAAATAGTAACTTGACTTCTTTGAGGACATGCTTACAGGGAATTACAAATGAAACCCTTTATTTAATCTATGTGGGTAGGCAGTTCATGTTCCACTGCCCATGTCTAGGGATATCTCATCTAATTCTTATTCTTAGTACTATTTAGTTATTTATTACCCTGTTTTATACTGAGTCCAAGTACACACTGCCTAGCCAAGGGATTGAACTCACAATTGCTATGTCAGCAAATTCATAGACCAACATTTTATTACACAAGGCTGTTGTCCAGTAGGACAATTCTCTGTGTAGAACTTGGAGCCTTAATCCTAACCTGTTAATGAATGCTAATGTGTCACTGCTTAGTATCACAAGCAGCAGTAGCTTAAATAAAGGCTTTAGTTTGGAATTCCTTGTAGGTTAACTGGGTTGACATCTACTTAATGAAGGCTGGAGGGCACAGCAGCCAAAACATTGTGATAACAACAACAAAGATGAGGACAATAGTCTGTATGTAAATAAGGAAAACTCCCAGAAATTATGGGATGTATTTTTTTAATTTTTTACCGATTTCATGTTCATACTTATGAGTTTACCTGTAAACAATCTGTATTTTCACTTTTTGCTTCTGATTGGTTTACACCTGGTTTTGTTTCATCCTTTTTATTTATTTATTTTTTTTAAATCTCTTCGGTCAAAAGCAAATAATTATTTCTACCAAACTACTGAATGCATTTTACCTTTTAATTAATTGGTGGCTTTTCTAATGAACTAATAAACATGAATATATATGTTAATGTGATTCTCTTCCATTGTGATAATCAAATTCATTATCATCCAGAGTTAAATGAGTCAGTCTCATGACACAGAAATGAGAGTGTCAAAGTGTGATAACTTGACCTTCAAATCATTTCAATCAGCAAAGAGAAGTGTTTGACTACTGTGTCTTTCTCTCTCTCTCAAAATAATTCATAATAGATTTCTATTGACTTCTATGTCAGCAGAGAAAGTATCCTGACTAGGAACAATGGTTATTTGATGCCAGTCAATGTCAGCAGAACAGACTACCAAGAAAGTTGGATTTATGTCTTAAAGACATTAGTATACAAGTGAAGAAAGACATTTTGACTAAACTTTCAACTTGATTTGCTGATTGCTTTTTTTCTGGGTGGATTACATGTCCATGATTTTGGTTGTAGGGTTAATATTGAATTAGTAAAGAAATACACATGTTGTCTGGAGACCTTCTTGTGGAGTACAGGGCCACAGCCTCAGCTCACTGTTGTTGCTACAATTTCCATAGCAAGTAGGTTTTTATGGGGTGGAGCTTTTAGCTCCACACCCAACTGGTTTTGAATTCAAAGTTGTCTTTCTCTTAGACTGGTTGCCAACCTAAGTTAGTGAGAGAAGAGTTGGATTCATACATTTCCCAATGGCAATGCCGCTTTCTGTGCTGATAAGTTATATTACATACATATTTATGAAATACACATAATATCAAGATTTAATTTTCTGTAAGCATCTATAAAAGCAATATTTGTATTGTAAAAGAGATAATTGGTGCCTGCATGTTGGCAATTTAAGAGAATTGTAACCTTAAGTGGAAAATGAGTGAGAGAAATCTGAAGAGAACCTGTAATCTACATATTTATTTGTCCTGCCACTGAAACAGAATTTTGGCATAAGGCCTTTTTTATCTGCATCTATGGAATGCATAACAGCAGATACTCGGTTCCCTTGGCACTTTTGTTTTGGGATGAATCAGGGATTAACTCTGACCCTACTCCTTTTGAATGTGCAGGTAGTGAAGTAGTTAATCATGCGGGAAGTAGAATTGGTATGCAGAACTCAAATTCTAAGCAAATCAATTTAATTCAATTTGCACTTCCCTCAGATATGGGTTAAATTTCAGGGCAGACTGGGTTCTCTTGCCTTGTGTGTCAGTCAGTCTAGAAGAATTTAAACTCCCATAAATAAATACATAAATAAATAAGGCAGAAGAAGCACTAATTCTGCTAAGCTGTCTTGCTCTAGATACATTCACTGGTACTATGAATACAGTACATGTAGTGTCCCTAAGATCCTAATGGGTTACAGAACTTGTTATCATGTGTGCAAGTAATGGGAAGTGCTGCCTTTAAAGGATGATTCCTTGGAGCTAAGCTTGTACAGGGTGTCCCAAAAGTCACATTACCATTGAAAATCTTTTTATATTTATACCAAATGAAATAGTGTTTCTATATGTGACAATATTATTAGTAAATTCTATTGGTTAAATTATGAAAGATGATGTCATGCAAATTTCCTCTGGTTGCTATTTCACAAGTTTAAATTTTCTACCAATTGCAACATGACTTTTTTGACACCCTGTATTACCCTGGTCATAATTGTCTGCAGTAACTAAGAGAATAAGTAGACATGTTAATATTTTTTAAATTAGTTACCATATAAACTCACATATCATGTGACTTTTGAAGACCTAATTTTGAAGTTAATTTTAAGGGGGGGTTGCATCATACACAAGATATAACAGCATATATACTGCTGGCCCTGGCTATGCTGTTGACCAAACTATATATCTATTTACTGTAGTCAAATAAACATCGCATGTTAAACAAGGATATATGGTATATTTAATTTCTTGGGGAGTAACCCTTTAGGAGTTAATGGAATTTTATTGTCACACTCAAAATAATTTTTTTTTTTTTTTGATACAATAAAAGATGGAGTAATTAAAGCCTAACAAATAACTTTAAAGATAAGTTTAGAAATTGAACAATGTTTAAAGGAAAACTATAGACAAGATGTGAAGGCTAAAAAGACTATTTTGTTTTGAACAATTGTCAAGTGAATTGTATGAGCTTTTACAAATTTTAATGAACATGTTTAATGTATGATTGTTATTTGACATTTCATTAATTAGATTTGTGTAGCCATTGTTTTGTCCTTTTTATGTTAAATATCACTTCTGTATGTTCCGGCAGCAAGGCCTCTGATCAGAAGATTGAAGGTTTTGAGGAGCATGGAACTACCTCTTAATTGCTGTTGTTCACAGGTCCACACTAACCCAGGGTGGTAGCACCTGTTAGGGTCTCAGCTGTGGGCAAATAGTGACCTCCCAAACAAAAACAAAATACTATGAAAGCATAAAGATACATTTTTATTGTAAAAATACCAGCAATACATTTTTATTGTAAAAATACCAGCAATACATTTTTATTGTAAAAATACCAGCAATACATTTTTATTGTAAAAATACCAGCAATACATTTTTATTGTAAAAATACCAGCAATACATTTTTATTGTAAAAATACCAGCAATACATTTTTATATTAAAAATTATCAACCTTAACTTTTTATAGAATTACCAACAATACATTTCAAAGCAAAATGACTAACAATACATTTTATCTGTAGTTGAAGGCATACAATTGTGTTAAAAATATATTTAGTTGAAGATATAAAATTGTATTCAAAATATTTAGATTTCAGCATTAAATAACCCATCTGCTGCTAAACAATATCAACCAAAAATCAACTTCTGTAAGTGTAGGTGGCATAATGTTTGGTGGAGCAGAAAATGGAATTGACAAACTGAGTTCAAATTCCTTCCATTCACTTTGTATTTATACCCTTGTTAAAAAAAATGAATCTGTCTCTTCTTTCTCCCGCTATGGGTTAAGTAAACAGAATAGACTGGACTCTTTAGTTTTGATTGGTAACCAGTTTAGGAGAGGGGCAACTTTGAATTTAAAAATGTGAAGTAGGCAACTGGAAACCATTCAGCTTGACAAGAAAAATCATGTCAATGCAGTTTACAGATTTTTAAAGAAAAAAGATGTGGAAAACCAAAACTGTCTACATCTTGAAGGGACATGGTTAAAAAAAAATCAATATACTTTCATGTATTTGTACATAATTTAAGAAAATTATTTTATGAATCTTTGGTCAAAACTGAGAACAAATTCTAAAAATTTATAATAAAATTAATATTGATTTTTCCCACCATTATTCTTTTGATATTTTATGAGAATTAAATTCAGTAATTAACTTCTTTCAAAGAATTTTTCTTTATTTTCTTAATAGAAATGATCAACTTTGTTAATCTATGAAAATGCTTTTTGACTTCATAACTATTTGATTACATTAATTACAAGATTTAAAAAATTTGATAGCCTGTTTTTCAACATTCATTGAGGTGATAATTTTCCTTGGTTATTGCTGGTAGAGACTGGATTCTTTCAATTGATCCATTTTTCTTATGATTTAATTTTTTTTGCTAATTAGTCAGTTCTAATTATCCATTGATGGAAGACAGTGAAATTGTTTTGCTGAACAATTACCCTTACGAAACAGAATCCAATGAGGTATATTCATTTTTTTTTTTTTTGACACTCATTTTTAGATTGTTGTTATTTGTTTGAGTTTCTTTCAGGTCCGGAAAAAGAAGGCTTACTGTTTTATAATCATTATTTGGGTTGTGATGCTTTAAAAACAAAATTCTGTATTTAAGTATTCTATGTTAGAATGTCTTTTTAAAACTTTTAACAGCACTGATAGTTTTCTTTAGAATTGTCAGAATCATGTGATTTTTATTAGAAAAGTTTGATGAAACAGCTTTTTAAATGACTGGCTCTCAACAAAGTTTTTGAAATTCCATTATTGACAACCTGGCTCATGATATGCTAGATGAATAATGGTGACATTTAAAAATGACTTCTAAACAAGGCTATCCTAACTGAAATCTGAGCAGTCACACAAATTGTGGCTAGTGTCTTAGCCCTAAATTTTTTTGGCATATTTTTTTTTGCATAATTTTTTTTCACCCAATACAAGGCCTGAGAGCCACTTGTGGTAGAAGATTAAAGAGTAAAATGCACAATTTATGCAGATATGTGGGGAAGATAACAGGTAACTCTAGATTTGAACAGGTTAAAATTGTAGTGATTGGGGAAGCATCCTCTTAGGAGTCAGTTCCACAAAGCAGTGGTTTGTGGGGAAAAAGCTGCTTGAGTGGAACTTACATCTAACCAGTGGAATACGAAGGGAATAAGGGTGATTCGCTACAATATGCATAGCATGGTAGGTTTTAGATATGGAGGTTAGAACTGGTGGAATTAAGGAATGGAATTTGTCTTAGTGATAAAGCAGCTATGTTTCACCTGTGAGAAAAGGGGTTGTAGGGTGGAAAATAATTCATCACCCACAAGTATGCAGAGATGTTTTTAGACTCTATTGAGACTAGAAAGTGGAAACTGCACAGCTCCTGCTTATATATGGCATTTTTGGCCTGATTTGACTCTTGTAGTGGATAAAAGGAGGAATTAAGTACTTACTGGAGCAGTACAGGGAACCAGCCATTTTTCCAGCATCTTTATTGATGGATTCTATGTATGAATTCCATGAGGTCTGGGTTGAATTTGTCTTAATAGGTGCTCAAAGCATAGAGCCTCCGTGAGGGAACATCTATTCATCGTGATTGTTCTGGGTCTAATTGGTAATGATGAATTACTACTAACTTACAATTATTGAGAAAATGTTCAGCAAGGCACTTGTCAGTGATATCCAATAATTAGCTAATTAACAACTCTATTTAATACCAGCAATCAATTATTATTTCTTATCGGTCAGAAAGCAGAGAAAATCTGTGTAGAAATCAAATCAGTGATGTCAACTTTTACAAAAACATTTATCAACAAATCCTGAAAATAATTTTGAAAAAAATTAATGAATAATTGGGAAACAATAATTTTTATTATATTCAAAATTTTTATTTCCGAATTTTTATCATATTTATAGACCTAAATTTCTCACATTATTTGCTTTTATTTCATGAAATATGAAACAAAAATGTACTTGTTACTATGCTAAAATTTTAAGACAACTTCAAAATTTTTAGTGCTAATTCTTTCATTGCTTTACACCTCAAGCACAACACTGTGGAATAAAACTTTCTAATATTATCAAAATTGTTTCTCTGAGTTATTTTGTTCCTAACATATTTAGTATTTTTATGCTTCATTGATTAGTATATTTGTAAAAGTTGAAATCACTTTCTAATTGATTTCTACATAAACATTTTCTCTGCTATCTGATCAATAAATAATAACTGATTTCATGTATTAGACATAGTTGTTGTTAATTAGCTAATTATTGAATAATTGAATTACTACTAGCCTGTAGGTTAGTAGTAATTTTCAACTAACATATTTAACTCCAATCTTATTATTTTCATATTTTAAAAATACTATTGTAGCTGTGAGTTTTTTAAAATCTCATTGAATATGAAATGAATTAAAGGTTGACTAAAATAAACATGATTTTTCCCAACATTAATATTGCAATTTAAAGTGATGAATACTTTCATTATATTTTATATACTAAATGTATTTATACAAAATTCCTAAAGCTTATTTTTGGCTATTTTCCAGTCTTTTTTTCTTCTCTAAGTCAGAAATATAATATTATTATTTTATTTATGTCAATAGTTATTTCTATAAATTGTTCTGAAATAATTCTGAAATGTGCCTGCAAAAAAAAAAAACTGTGTCAAAAAGACACTTTTTCCCTTGACACTGCTATTATTTTAACTACCATCACTCCTCAGATAATGTTTATTGTTTTAAAAAGCGATGATTATAATTTTAATAAAATCTAAACATATCAAATTGGATTTTTTTGTTCTTGAGAACTTATAACAACAATATTGAAGTAAACATTATTTATTAGATTGGTTAGTAAAACATTGGTTACTTGTCAATCGATTTAAATTTTATAAAACGGTAAAAAATAAAGATTTCATTATAGTCAGTTCACATATTTTTATAATTTAGTAAATGTTTATAAATTTATGAATAAAAAATTTTCATATTTATTTCTTTATAAATTGGTAAATGATAAACATTGAGTTGCAGTTGTTTTGAATATTTTTTATGTTGTAAATATAAAATTATACTTGCAAATAAACAATCTAATATATAAATAATGTTTAATATGTTTTTTTGCAAATTCTCAAGAACAAAGAAAATGTATAAATTCACTTTCATATGGTTAGTTTTCTTTTTTAATTAAAATTCTAATAATCACTTTTTAAAACAATAAACATTGCCAAGGAGTGAAAGTAGTTAAAATAATAGTGATGTCAAGGGAAAAGCTGTCATTTTGATACCCCATTTTTTTGTGGGCACAAAGGTTAAAAATTGCTGACAGTTTAATGTGAGTAGACAGAAAACAAAAAACTTAGTCATTAGTGAAAGTAAAAGAATTGTTATAGCATTGAGAAGTGAAGGAAGGTTTTTATTTAAGTTGGTAGCCTTAATTTTATCAGCAAAGTTTGATTTTTTTTTAGTTCTGGTTATGTTTAAAATAGTACAAGTTTTTATTTTTTTTTAGCTTTCCAGGAATGATTTTTTTATGAATGTGAAATAACAAAGATTTATATTATAATCCATAACTATTATTTTGGTTATTTAAGATAATCAGTGAAATTAATTATCTCCAAAAAAAAAATGCTTTTTAAATTTTTTTATAAACTGTATGGAAATATAACATTTGAATAAGCTTCTTATGTCATATAATTCAAAAAATCATAATACAATGAAATTTGTCTAAACCAAATGAAATAATTGGTGATGTTCAATGAAGCTAAATAAATTCACCATACCAAATTCTTCATGAACAACGATTGAGTTGGTTGTACAGATGTAATGATTTGCTTGTTTTTTTTTTTTTTGCTTGTTGTTGCATCCAATAGTAAAAGATTATCCTTTGCTTTTATTTTCTGGGCACTTAATATAATATTTGATGGCATACAAAACCCACCTCTTTTCACCAAATGATAGAATTTCATAAATTTGTAATAAATGTACAATTATTTGTTATGTTGAATTGAGATATTCAGAGCAGGTATGTTTTACACTTGACAGAGAATCATGTCCAACTATGTTAATGAACATTTACTTATTATTAAATTGATAAAATATTTTATTGATAGCTCCAGAGGCCAATATAAAAATTTGGGGGAATATTATGAATATTTCTGTCACCACAGAATTGATTTTGGGCTAGATGTTGTTTAGTCATTTTTTTTTTTTTGCTATAAATCATGGGAAGATTTTTTTTTCTGATAGAATTGGACTGTATCCCATTAGTAAGGAGGAAATTCCAATTTGGACAACTTCTTCCAAAGAACTGATACATTGTAGAACAAAATCCTGAAAGGATGCTCCCCCAATCACAACAGTCTTAGCATCTTTGAATCTAGGGTCAACTGTTATCTATCATACATTTTTTCATAATATGCACCTTTTAATCCCTCCTTGTATAGGCTTACCACAGCCACATCTAGTAACCCTCTGCTTTGAGTGGCTCTTAGGCCTTGAATTGAGTGAATATTAGTTTTAAAAAAGATAACAATTTTTTTTTAATAATTCATATTGAAATAACGTGGGGGGGGGGATTTTGTACACTATTAAATATGGTAAGTTGTGATTAGAAAAGCATGCTTGAGAATTTCACTGTTTGTTGGTGAATGTGTTTGGTTTGTTAGGCTTTATCATTGCTAATTGTTTTTACTTTATGCAATTTTATCACTAATTTTTATGTTCAAAAAATATTTTTTATTTTCCAATATTGAATTATTTTCTACTTGAAAATGTATTTTAAGGCACCTTCACAAAGTTTCTTTAAAATTAGAGCACATTTTGCAACCTAGATAAGTAATAGCAGTTTTCTATATTTTTTTATGTTGAATTCCATATCTTTTTATTCTTAGCTGTTCCACATAGTAAAGATGAAATTACTGCTTAATCAGTTGATCATTATATGACATGCAGTGCTTTTGTAGTTTCTATTGATTATTAATTCACCATTCTGTTTTAATGATTTCAACAATAGTTTTTAATGATTGTTTTATGTGGTTTCTTTGGGCTAATTTCCTTATCTTTGTTGTTTTTCCACCTCTACAACTTTTCATCCATGAAATTGCTGATTTTCCTTGGATGTTGTGTTCCGTAATATTGTTGAATCTTATTTTGTGGACAGTTGGCATATTTCCCTTCCCATGTTTGGTTTTTATCAACCTCCCTTGAACTTTGTGTTGACCTCTTCCCAGCTTGTTGATAGAAGATATGCATGCTCCCCTAAAAATAAGATTTAACACCATTACAGAACACAGAGTATCCAAAAAAAGGTTTGAGCTTACATAACTGAAATCTGGAAAGAAAAAAGAAGGAAAGCAAATTAATCCAAAGAAAATCAATTTCATGCCCTGGCCCCTCCCATTATCATCATCATCAATAAGTGAGGACCCCAATGTCCAAATGATATGTATTGTTTAGCAACTATTTAAAAGAATAATGAAAGGATTACTTTGTTATTGAAATGTTGCAGAGGCTATTTTCAGATTATAAGCATAAAATCAAATTTGCTAAACTGTAGTTTATATAAGAATCAGTGTTAAAAAATTCACTAGTTATATGAGCAAATGTTGAAAAGTTCTCAGTTCCACTGTATACACCAAATCTGACCAAATGACTAAACATTAAATTTTTTTTAAAGGCTTCTTGATTGGACTGAGAAATTTTTATCACTTGCATGTTTAAAATCTGGTTATGGTTTTCTTTTCACTCATTGATTGCTTTGCATTTGCTAATGTTATGTTCCAAAATTTTCATATAAATACTTCTATAGCAAAATAGTGACTATTTCTTTGGAGTCCATTGTCTTTTTCTTGGCTGTAATCCATTCCTTCTGACATGTACATAATGCTTCTAAATTACTATTTCATTCTTATTATATTTATACACTTATTTCAATGTTTACTTTCCAAAAGAGGTTTCTTCTTGGGTTAAAGCCATCATTGATGCTTTTGTACCTTCTCGTAAATACCAAGTGAAACCAAAATCTTCTTGGTTCATACCAGGCTGTTTAGCCACTATAGCACACAGGAATCACTTCTCCAGGTGTACCAGCATGATAGCTTCAATCACTACAGATGCCTATTTCTGTCTGCTCACAATAATTGTAAATGTAGCTTCAAAGAGGTTAAGTCTTTGCTTGCTGATAGCATGAGACAACATATAGCTTCTAACAAGTTTGGTTCACATGACGACTTGCAGTTCTGTAATAATGTGCTAAATAAGAGTTTCTTCTATTCCTTTTCTCTTCATTCAATTTGAGGTGTTAACATCTGCTGACAAGGCAGAATGTTTTGCTCATAAATTCTCTTCAAATTCTACTATGGAGTATTTTTGTCTGATTTTCCACTTAGAACTTAGTCTCTATTGAGTAAAATGCATATAACCCTGTGCATCCCTAATCTGGATCCTCATAAAGCATGTGGATTTGATGCTATCTCTGCAATAATCCTTAAGAACTGTGCTCCTGTTCTCTCTAAATACTTTGCTGCTTCTTGCTGGAAATCCTCTTCTATAGTTCCAGTCTTTAAGAACTCTGGCAAACTGTCTGATCCTTCTATCTGCCTATTAGTCTTCTACCTCTTTTTGGCAAAGTACTAGAGGCTCTAATTAACTCTGAATCGGTTAAACATCTCACATTGTAAGGTCTTCATTTAGATAAGCAAGATGGCTTTCACTTCTCTAGATTAACTGCTGATGTATCAATGGTTATTGCTGAAAGAGTTGATCAAGCTTTAGATAAGAATGGTGAAGCTGTTGCTTTGTCAAACACCTTTGAGATATCCAGTGTTTAGCATACTGGTCTCTTCATAAGTTGAAAGGTTATGGTATTTCTGGATTAACTTTTGAACTGAGTCAGTCTTTAACAAATCGCAAAATGAAAGTGGTCTTAAATGACCACTTTTCTAGATCTTTTTGTATTATTGCAGGTGTTCTCCAAGGCTCTATCCTTGGACCTACATTGTTCCTAATGTTCATAAATGATAGTCCTGATGTCATCAGTTCTCAACTCAGTCTCTATGCTGTTTTAACAGTAAATCTGATTGGTTTGATAAGGTCAAATTGGCAGCTGATCTAAAAAAGTGACCTACAATCTGTTGTTAACTGGAGCAAGGAGTGGCTTGTTAATTTTAACACCTCCAAAATGAAACTACTCTCTTTTAATCATCATTAGCATGGCTGATGCTAACCACCAGGAGAGTAACTCATTCTTGGACTAAGCTTTTCCGCTGACATGAAGTGAAAAGATTATATTAAATCAATTGTTAGGTCTGCTGCTAGGAAAGTTGGTTCACTGTGTTATACTAGACAATCTATTTTGCCAGAATCTTTCTAACATATTTATAAGTTTACTATTCGTCTTTGCCCTGAATATTGCTGCCACATCTGGTTTGGTGTTTCTTCTATATATTTAGAGATTCTTGATAAAATCTGAAGAACCTGCAATGTTATTGGTCCTGACTTGGTATCAATCACTTTCCTATTGCTGTCACATAGCTTCCCTGTGCTTTTTCTATAAATGCTTTCATGGTAATTATTCTGATGAACTTTCCTCTGTGGTATCTAGACTTTAAATTTAAATACAGTACTAGATTGGTAACATGATCTCATCATTTTACATTTTGAAATGGCTAGATGTAACTGTAAGTTCTATGCTAATAGTTTCTTCTCTCACACTTCTCACTTGTGGAACTCTCTTCTGACTTCTTGCTTCCCAGTCAACTTTGCATTTAAATTTTTGAAGATCAATGTCAATCATTATCTTCTGAACAATAAAAGAACAAGAATTAAGAATAATTTTTGTTCTTTTATTCTTCTCTCCTTAGTAATATTTTTCTTTCTTTCTCATATTCTTTAACACACAGTGTCCCACACTTGTGTCTTAGTGGCTTTATTGCTTCACTGGGGATAAAAGGATTAAAAAAACATTTTTTTCATTCATTTCTATTTGCAAAATAATTCCTGGAACTTGCCTTTTTTAACACTTATAAATTTTCTTTTGTTCACTTAATTTTTTTCTTTTTTATGTCAGATGGTCAGTGGTGAAATGTTTTCTTGTCAGGTTGCTGTAAAGTATAGCCATAACTAGTTTTTTTTTTTTTTACATTCCTGCTTCTGTCTTTTAATGATCAGATTTTCCATTTTTATTTTTGGCTTTTTTTACAGAGAGGCAAGCGGGTCAAATATGAATTCCTTGAGGAACATTACTAATGAACAATATATAAATTGGTCAATGGAGGAAAATTAGATATTTCCAAAGGTAAACTCATTTTCTATTGAATTTTATAGTCAAAAACAAAGCATTTTCTGTTAGGATTAAAATTGCTTTGATATTACAATCAGCTTTCATACCTAACAGATAATTTATAAAGTCTTTTACAAATTTTCTTCAAAAGTATATTCCAAAGACAAGTTTTATAGACTCAAGGTTTTTGAATTATGTAGAGTTGATCCCCAAAAGTTACCAAACTTAAATTTTAAAATAGATATTCAATTTTGGTTATTCAGTTTTTGAATTTTAAGTTTTATTTTTATCTTTTTCTTTTAAACTTGCTTACCTTTGTTATTCTATTTGTATATTTCATCTAATTTGTAATTTTGTTTTTAATTTTGAACTACAAGGTAACTTTTCTAAATTTTTGCATTTAATATTAAGTTAGAGAAGTGGAAAGTAATGCAAAATATTATAACTGAAAAAAAATTATTTGATTTAAGTGCAAATGAAAACAGTCTAAGCTTTTATGTTAAATGATTGTTTTGATGATACAGCCATTATGATGTGGCAACTTATTTAAAAAAAAAAAACATCTGCTCATTTTCATTTTGTACTATAATACTTACCTTGTTTTATATCCTTTTATATTTTGTACTCTATTTCCCCATTGTAGATTTGCAGTGGGTGGGTGGAGAAGTAACTGGACACTTTCAAAATATGTTATTTTTCTTTTTTGTAATAGTTATATTTTATATCAGAATAAATCCCATGTGTAAATTTAAATTAAATGTAAGCATTGGAAGTATATTAAATAAATATACAAAATACAATATTAAAATAAATATTTTTTAAGTGCCTAAATATTTCTTTCTTTTGTACTTTCAATTAAAAATACCATTTTTTTAATACATTCTACAATATTTTTTTTGTGGAAAATAATTTTTTCTCAGTTATAACCCCACTTTGATAAAACAAATGTTTATTTGAATTTTCATGCTAAATTGTAATAAATTAAAAAATTTAAAAAATATATTTCAGTTCACATGTGGACATTTATATTTGTTATAACTAGAATGGTTAACATAGTTAAGTGTGAACTTGATTCTTTTTTTTACCAAAATTTGCCTTGTTCAACTTCTGATTGATAATATAAAATATTCATGTCAGTTAATAAATGCAAATTTCCCAAGTTTATTTAAAATATCCAGTTTTTTTATTTTTTGTATGTTTTCCTTTTTCAGAGCAAGAAAACAACATTTATATCATGAAAAATGACTGGTACAATCAGCAGATAAGCTTTTAGAAACATTTTCTGACTATTTTTTAACCCTTTGATTTTTATTATAATTTTCATCCAATACACATTTATCATATAAAAGGGTTAATACAAAAAAACAAAAACAAATGATGACTGTTTTTATCTGATTGATAAAGAAATGCTCAAAGATGAAATGAAAGAAAGCAAACAGTTATTTTGAATGTTAAATTCATGGAAATGTGATAAACAAAACATGTTTTATTTTTGCATTTTAATTTTTGGGATCAACATTCCATCCTTGCTATATGCATTAAGCTGAATTTATCAATTTCATCTACTTGCATTCCAACATTGTCCAAGCAAAAGTGATAAATATATATAAATAAATATATATATTTTTACATTTTTTACTTACCTTGTTTTATATCCTTTTATATTTTAGTTTTGTACTCTAGAAAATATTTAAGTAAACCATTTTACATTGAAATTGATTGAACAGTGGAAGATTAGGTAAACAACTATTTTGTTGATTCACTGGAGCTAATATTTAAAATGGCTCATTTGGGGCTCTCAGAAGAGAGAGATGAACATAGTAAAGTTGAAAGAAGTATATGGATTCTTGCAGAGAAAATTTGCATTTCATTTTTCCTTTTATAGAAATTTTTATATAATGCTTTTTAGCTTATTTTTCAAAATCTTTATGGAAAACAATATGTCTCTTTTACCATTGCAGCATTTTGCAATTCATTCAATATTGTTGCCGGTTTAATTATTCTATGTTTATCAAAAGTTTAGCCTGTTAAAATATGTGTAAAAAAATATTAATAGGTATGAAAGAAATGAAAATTTTAAATAGTCACCTTTACACTTTAAAAATAATTTTGAAGAAAGAAGACAAAGAGCCAGTATATATAGGAAATAGAATTTATTGCATCCAAAGTTAAATTGTGATATAAAATAAATTTTGTATTTCATTTAACCATAATTATCTGAAGGTGGTCAGTTAAATTTCTGCAAAATAAAGAAAAGAAAATATATTAGATTTTCGTTTTTCAAAATTTTGATTCTAACTTGATATAATAAAGATAAATTACATAAGGACTTTTTGTAAGAAACAATATAAAAAAAATATTCTTGCTGGTATTCTAAGTGATTTTAGGAGGAGGATATGTTTAGTGTATTACATATAGTTGTTACAATAAACATTAATAAGAAATGTAATTTTATAATAAAAATTATAAGTGAATTAAACTCACATATCTTACACTCTGTACATTTGCAGCACCAAAATTCTGGATAATACATAGTTTTCTTCATTTGACCTATGCATGTAACAATGGCCTCTCTGACTTGAGCTACATTTCCAACACAGGATTTACAATTGTTATTGCTTTTTACAACAGGAGAGTCTGATAGCATTGGGTAAGTCATACTGTCTCCACATCCTCCACTACAGTATGTAAGATGTAATTTATTTTCAGATTGGCAGTTGCCTGAACTGTCTTGCAAATAATCCCATGTCTTATGGAGGCCACAGGTAGTTTCTGGAAGAAATAGACAAATCAAATACTTGCTTGAATTCATTGATAAAATTACAAAAACAAACTGTTCTTTAGTATGTTCTAGAAAGTATAGAAAATTTAAGAAAAAAAAAAGATTTAAGGAATATTTGTGAAAAATATTAATGAATTTAATCCCAGCAAAAATGGTTGAAATAAATTTTAAAATTCATATATTTGATCAACTGACAAGTATCACCTCAGAACATTGTAATTGAAAGTGATCTGAGTGGTTCATTTATTTGAAACTATGGATAAACAGAACACCAAAGAGTATAAAGGATTTCCTTTTATTTATCTCCGAATATCTTAATTGGTAATGCAATTTGAGCTACCATGAGGATACGTTGTGGGTTCAGACTTTCATCTGAAAGTTTTGGGGACCATATTTATCAAATCATTACAGCCTTTTTTGAAACCCCAAAACCATTCTTTTTGTTTACACAATTTGATCAGCTTATAATGTAGGTATACATGTTAGTATATTTCTAAAATGTGTATCCTTACTATGGAAATTTGCTTCCTCCCTTTTTAGTTGTGGTGCACAGCTACTTTATTTTCTTGATTAAGCTCTGAAGAAAGAGGAATAACATCCCATCAGCTTTTTCTCTCTCTCCGCCCCATTTTTTTTCTCTTGTTTCAAATTGCCAGTTAAAGTGATTATATATTTTTCTGTCCATTTTCCCCTCATTTCATAAAATTTTGTTGTTTTATTTATGCTAAAATACTTAATTAACATATGCATAATTACATAGATGAATTTACAATGTTCTAAGAATTATGTAGATAATGAACCAGACCAATGCTAATTCTTCCTCATAAGTTTTGATTATTTAGTCATATTCTAAAATGTTAATGTCTTTAAAAGTCATTATTTTATATATTTCAATTGAAAATTATTCCATTTCTGTTTTTTATATAAAAACTTTATTATTTTTATGTTTTACCTGTTATTGGCTGGCATTTGGGGCAGCATTTATTGTGCTCCTGATAGACCAACTTTTCATTCTGAAACAAATAATTTTCAAATCTCAGTGCCTAATATAATGTAATATATACTGAAAATTAAATGCAACATTTTTCTAAAAATATTAACACATATTTCTATTTTAATACTGATACTGATATTGATAAAAGAAAATATATTTTTAGCTTCTATTCTAAGATGTTTAATTATTGGCTTGGGAAAATCTTCCTCTCTCCAATGGAAAGTGATATTATTAGTTACAGCATATTTTGATACAATTATTAAGAAATAACAGTGCATCAAAAGAAAACTCAAAAGAATAGATTGGTGACTTCTTTAATACAATTTTGTTTTTGATTTTAGCTCTAAGGATAAATGTTGTCAAAATTTCTGAAGAGAATTCAGGCTTTAAAAAGAAACACACTTTTTATAGCAGCTCTAATTTATTATCTTTATGTTTCTTTAGTAAATAGCTATTTGGCATTAAATGACTAACAATGTTGATATGTTGTTAAAATAGAACAATCAAATCTTTAGTAAATAGACTTAATTTTAGCCTCATTTTTCTCATAAAATTGATATATAAATCAATAAGAAATAACCAACCTAGTTTTAGGATAACATGGTTGTATTTAGTGGTCTCATATATTATCTTTGTTATATGATATCCTGTTTAAGAATCTGCATCATTTTACAGTTATGCTAATAGTTTATTCTCTTGGACATCTTGTTTGTGGAACTCTCTTCAAGCCAAGATCAATCGTTATCTTCTTGTTCTTAATATTGTTCTCTCTTCTTAATAGTAATTTTTTTTCTCATAACACTCAGTAACCCCTTGCATCTTAGTGGCTTTATTGCCTTACTTGGGATGAAATGATTCAAAAGAATTGTTGTGGAGTTATTGACTTAGAGCTGGAATTTATTTATGGGATATATAACTAAAATGATATTCCAAATTATTAATTGTTATTAATTCAATGTTTTAGTTGGTATATTCTCCAGTTTTAATCAAAGTGATTTTTCTCTGTGGTACATATTGTTTCTTTTAGGAGCCTTAAAATTTTATTTTTTGGATCATCAGCTTTTACTAATGCAGTTGACTTTGTCTTTCATAGAATATGTAAAAAAAAAAAGAAAGAAATGTTTTTCTTATAACATTTTGGTCACTTACTGGAGCACATTCGGGTATTTCACAAATTTTCTTGCATACTGGCGAACCAGTTACACACTGGCATACTTCACAGCCATCCAAGGCCTCCCAAATTTGACCTTGCTGCAAAATAAGCATTGTTATTATTATTATACCTGGAACTCTGTCTGATGTTGGTTTGGACAAAACAAAAGAAGCTTCAGACAAAATAATTTTATCATTCAATTATATTTTTGTTATGACAATGTTTCATCTTATTAATTCTCCAGTTATTTTTAGGTGATATCTAGTCTTAAATTTCTATTTTCTGTAAAAATATGCATCAAGAAGTTAAAATTATCAATTATTCATGACTATTCACTCATGCTACTTGATAAAAACAACAAAAAATATTATCTTCATTAGAAGAAGAAAAAAAAGAAGTACATTCCTCATTCTGTCAATATATTTATGAATGAAAGAAAAAAATTGTGCCTAAAGTTGTCTGGTGAAAAGGTTACTTGGCTCCTGTGGAAAGAGCAAAGAAGCAAAAAAAATGAAAATATAATCTCTAATAGGGACAAGGCTTTCTATTTTATGTTTCAAGTGGACAGACAACATCAAGCATCTATTGACATTTAATGGAAGATATTAAACAGAAGAAACAGTTGATCCAGTTAAAGTGTACAGAGTAAAGTAAAAACCACACATACAGACTCATGTTTGTATCATGTTTGAATTCTGTGAGAGGATGCTGAAGAGATCTGTTTACCCCACATCCCAAATTTTATGAAATATCAGAATTCATTTTACAATTCCTTTTGGTTGGGCCAAGAAGTTTACCACAACCGTAAACACTATTTAAGCATGACAAAGTTTGGGACATTAAACTAAATCAAAAATGAAGATATGCACATAATATTCAAAGACTGGCTGAAGACTACAAATTGGGCCAACTAATGATAGTATGGTACAGCATCACATGATACATATTAGTGAGACTGTTTTGGCTGAAAGTAAGTAAACATCTACTTTATTATAAGTGAAAGCCTCATAGTAAGATTTTTACTCCATGATATTGTGGGCAATGTAAAAAGTTTTTAGAGTCTATCTTGCATAATTTAAAAATATTTACCAACTTTTAAAAGTCCAGTTGCTCATCAAAATATTTTTTGGTCTGTAATGCAATTTCCATTCAAAAGTTGGGACAAGAAAAGAAAAATTTAAAAGAGATATATGAGAAGCAAAATGTTAGTTAATTTGACTTGCAGTGGACTAGCAATGGCATATAATTATTATTTAAATGCTATGAAATGCAAAAAGAAACTTAAGTTAAAATTTTTACAAATGATGAT